GATTCGAAGTACAATATTCACATCGCCCTTCGGGCTCGGTGAATATTGTACTCCTCAGGTGTCTAAATCATCATATTGACCTCAAAAGCCAGCAATAATTGTATAATAATTATTAGTTTTCAGAACGTTAACAATTTACTGGCGAAGTTCATACTTATTTTCATGCCTTTGTTTTTATACTTTACTACGGATAACTCTTTTCTACAAGGTCCCTAAAAATTAATGTAATTTTTCATTTAAGTTATCTTACTTTTTGAAACCGATCTATTGAACTGCTGGTCAATATACTGCGATCTATTGGACCGCAACGTATTTCGGAAAAACCGATCTGGGTTTCGAATTTATATGTAACATTGAACAGACGTCAGTGGTAAACAATAATTTGAAACAATGCTCGGCTGTTGGCCTCGGGCAATAGAACACACTGAGGCACAGCTGCTCTGTGCACCTCGGGAAAAATATTCTGGTCTATTGACTGTTCAGGCATTAAATAATTGTATAGCATAGGCGTCAAAAGCAAATTATAGCGAGGGGCTAATTGAAAGTGGGGGGGGGGGGGAGTTAAATCTTTAAAAAAAAAGTAAGCTTCAATTTTCAATTCTAATGCCTATATTATGTATACCTTAGCAAAAAAGTGGGGGGTTAACCCCCCTACCCCCCCTCCCGGTTCCGACGCCTATTTATAGTGTGGACCGAGGCACTTCCTGGTATCGAAGATGTCGAGTGTCATCCCTTTTTTTATGTACATTGAAATATGATTTTTTAAAAAAAACTGGATATCAGCGATTTCCGATTTTTAATATAATTAGTGAATTTAAACACTCAATACACAAAATACACTATCCCGAAACGAAGCCTCTTTTACTAGAAGCAATGTATCTCTATAATATAAGTTACTAAGCAAAATGATCGAGTGCGAGTAGTTTCTTGGTGGAAAACTTTACATTGATTAAGAACCGCTGTGTTTATGTCTTACAAAACAAATATCTGCATGGTCAGATGCTTAAGACTTGTTTGTAAGTGGCAGATCTTTCTTACCCCAACATCATGACTCAACCTTTTGTTTTAAAATAAATTTTAGAGACATTTTATGTCATTAATGATCTATTTTTTAATTAGTTTATATAACTCAATATTTAGGTATATGTGATATAATTGTGGGTCATTAATTTGTATACATATATATATAATGTTGCGGGATCAATGTACAGTACGAGTATATTGTTGTGGGATAGTATATAAGTATAAAGATATACGTATATATCCAAAAAAGTGAAAGAACATTGTTGGATATATACTGGGTTTAGGCAGTTTACGCTTTATAAACCGCGAAGTGGTCACCTTTTCAAACCATCAGGGACCATTCAATGACTGAATGGCAGAGGTTCATCCCGTGGGAGGATGAAAGCAAATACTCGAGACTATTTAGCGAGTAAAATGGTTAGAGATTGTCCTATTTTGAATTACTTGTTTTATTCAATACGTTTTTGACGTAAATTTTTTTTTGTTCCCAAATCTTTTATCTCTTTCTCTCACATAAATGTGTTAATATTATAAACACATATATTACATAAATATATCTATATATCTATATCAAGGTTCTACATGTACATGTAATGCATGTATCGGATAATTATGGGTCATTTATATGTACATATATATAGATATAGAATATTGCGGGATCAAATTACAGGCAACTATACATCATTCTGGGTCAATATATTGATATAAAGAACATCGTGGGATATGTACAATTGTACTTGTCTATCTATAAAATGTTAAAATCACATTGATTTGATTACACTTCCCTAAAATCTTAACGCGTGATAATTTTTTTCTGAATAATCCTTGAGTTGTGAATGATTTTCTGCGACTTCATACTGACATATTTCTTTATTACTTAAACTTCACGGTTCACATCAGGGTAACGCGCCTTCTTTATAGTAACATTTTAAAGTCATTTTATCTTATAAAATGATATACTTGAAGCTTTCTTTCATATCTGAATAATTATATAGACTTTAGGAAGAACACAACTATAGAACGATTAAAACTTATAAAATTATTTAACCTTATTTTTTCTAGATTTATACAATGTAGTACATAGTACATTAAAAACAAAAGCTCATGCATGGCATGACATACATGTAAATAAATAATGCGTTACAATCTGATAATGATTCACTACAATTAGGCTATACAATCTAGCTGTTTCCCATAATCCCTCCAATACTCATGGGGAAGTATATAAAAAATTGTGGGTCACGCGCGAAATTCTGCCAATCCACAGAGTGGTAAGATTTCATATATATATAATTGCATTGTGGGTCATTTTTTGAGTGTGTAATTATGGGTCAAAAAAAATTTTTTTTGTAAAAAATGAAAATAGTAACTATATTATTGTCATAAACAAATTTTTAGGCACATGGTTTGTGGGTCAATATATAATGACCCATAAACCATCCATGATACCCACAACGTGAGTGAAAAAGACACAAAATATCCCACAATCCGCATGGCACAAAACTATATATATATATATATATATATATATATATATATATATATATATATATATATATATATATATATATATATATATATTCCTTTCAAGGTTACATGGTTGTAGGTATATATGTACAGAAAACTTGTATTTTTTGTTTCCCTTTCTTTTATCTCAGTGAAGAAATATAGAAAGATCTTCGGTGGCGGACTCTTAGTAGGCGGAGGGGTGGCGATTAGCGCACCTGCCTTGTTGCACGCAGCGGGGTTCAAAAGCACAGGAGTAGCTGCAGGGTCTTTAGCGGCGTGGTTAATGTCTGTAGGAGCCACCGGACTGAGTGGAGCGACACTGTTTACTATAGGATCTATAGCGGGCGGGTCTTATATTGTGATGAAGATGCGAAAAACAACGAAAAAACAATAATTAATGATACATAATAAATTGCCAGTCCTCCATTGTTTTTCAACATAAATAAATATCATATGGTAATTTAAAACGAAGGTAGGCCTACATGTAATTGATAAAGAGACTCTGTTAGTGATAAATATCACATTAAAGAACCTAAAATTTAATTAAGACTTTCAATTTTTGTTGTTAATATTGAATGTGAATGTTGAGACCTGCTGTGACAGAACAACAAATTAAATAATAAGTTCATTGTAGTTTGGATTGTAGCTGTATACTAATTAGTACGAAAAATGTAATATTTCATTTCTTGCCAGAGAAGTTTCCTGACATATTAAGTTTGCATAGCTATAGCGCTAAATTTTGCGCTTGACACTGCATGCAAAACATACTTTGTTTAATTTCTTACAAAGAAAAACATACACTGTATTGTTTTTTTTATGAATTTATTTCACACACAACATAAACACTTTAATAAATAAAACACTTTATAAAATAGATTGCAAAATAAGCCGACATATATTTGACGTTTATGATATCTTTAAAGATGGCAAATACTTAAACGACAAAGCAGTATAATTATCATAATTTATGAAACGGTCGTTTTACGAGTAAAAGGGAACAAAGTTTTTATGGAATATGGTAATTGTAGAAGTTTCACAACATTGCTTAGTGAATGTAAAATTTAAAGTATATTGCAGTTAAGTAGAGTATTATATACTAGTATATCATCTACAGCGTATACATCGTACATATCACTAAATAAATAAATAAATAAATAAATAAATAAATAAATAAATAAAATACATGACAAATGACAAACATACCTATACGTCTGTAGGAATATATTTAATCTCATTGAATAAAAATGTACAAGTACAATAAACAAATACTCATAAGTTGAAATAAGTCTGACCACAATACTTTTCTGAATGCTGAGAAAGAGGCCCACAACTTTCCCCTACTAGCATTTGGAACGGTGTCACATATGGTCATTTGTTGAAAATATTTGTCAATAGAAGCGAATGCAGTGATCGCATATCAATCTCTCCATTTTTTTTTAAATATAGGATTGGCCATATATAAATTATTTTGTTCATCGAAAAATGAATCTAAAAAACGAATCGCACACTTTATAAAAGACGAATCGAAGCGAAACAATATGAAGAGACAGACACTTACTTTGTTGTCAGTAAACGATCGATCAACAGTCACACGTCAACTGGAGAGTCCTTGAAAGTAAGCAAGGGGTGTCTTTGGTTTAAAATCAAATTTTTGAAATAGACTTGCTTGTTGCTACACATTAGTACATTTATAAGGTGATTGGTAGTACCCCTTTCTATTTAAATTGCAGACGATATGGAAACAATTGAAATGTAGAATAGGAATCTCTGTCTAATGTAGCTTTTTAAATTTATTTTTGAAAAGCTACATAATAAGATTTTTTTCAAATTATCAAATGATACGAAATGGGAGGTATTTTGTTACAATTTGTGACGTGCTTCTTTTCAGTGTTAGACCCCTAGCAAGTAACCAAGGACAGCAATTATATATAACTTAATAATTTTTTGATATTTTTTTTCTTTTTTGAACTAAATTAGATTTTTTATTGTAAATTTTTGAGAACACATAATTAAAATTTTTCTTATAAATTACATCTGGGAAGAAAAAAGTTATAGAAGCTTGATTTAAGGATATACGAAACTTGCAGTTCTCATTCCGTGTATAATTTAAGAGTTCCAATAATTGAAGGACGTTTGTGCAATTTATGATGCCTGGTAATGCTAAACATCTCCCCTGCATCAAATTTAAAGAAAATACCAGCTAAAACTATATTTTTGTTAATTTTTCTTTAAAAAGCAAGGATTTTCATAATTTGAAATCTGTTCAAAACTCCTGGTACTGTCTGCTGATTTTTTGTCTAAAAACATCTGGTGCTACTTTGGTTTTAACTGAAGAATATCTTGGAAAATGATCAATTGGAAAGGTACATTGTAGAGTGCATGTACGTTGCATATGTTCTTCAATCATGAGAAGATCATAATCGTTTTTTTAAAGAGAATGTTAGTATAACAATTTCATTCCCTGTGAACTATTGTAACGGTTCAGAATACTGACAGAGATTAGAAATATGAAAAATGTTTGGCCCCTGACTTGAACTTATACATGCATTCATCGAAAAATGAACAAAAATATCCGACAATAGAAGGCTATTGGGTTAAAATCGTGAAGGTAAGAAAAATTTAATTATTGCATTTTCTTCTTACATTTTAAACAAAAGAACCGGGAGCTTGGCTGATCATTTGATAAATTGTTGGACAGTTGTTGTTTTGGAAAAAAAGAAAAAGCTATGTTTTTGAATTTTTTCACGTCTTTTGCTTATTCTGTGGCTGATTTTACCAACAGCTTCAATTTTTTTCATCTCTTTTTTTTTTTTATAATCATGCTTTGATTGATTTAAGAGTTACGTCCCCTTCTTTATTATATTGATAGCTTCTGGCCAAAAGATACTCTAATAAATTATGGATTGCCATATTCCAAGATGTTACCAAAACGCTTACAGATCCCAAAACTTGCCTAAGCTTTAGTTCTAAGCACCTTTGGCTTAGATAAACCAAAACATTCTGTGTACTGTATTTACTCATCTTTCCGTTTTCTCCAGTCCTGAACTAACGGATGCTCCAAAAATACATCGTCATCTGCAAGATTTTTTAATCTTACCTCGCAAAAATAATCTATGTCTTCATCGCTTGCTATAATAGCGAGAGAGTCAGGATGACTTTTTGGGCGAACTAATTGAAGGATGGCATCAAGATTGCAAAATCCCATCATCTTTTCTGGGTACTTTTTGTAGCATGCATGAAAGGCACAGATGTAAAGAAAATTATGCCAGAAGACGAGCACCTTCCTTGGTTCTTCGTCTTTGCTTTTTGATAGATTGAATCTTTCTGACCACATTGGAGCAAGTTTATCGTTTTGTATTGTTTTTGTGTATTTAGCAATATGTTCACCATCAGAGAGCATGTTTTCCGTAACGTCAAATTCATGCGCAATTTCTGGCTTAAATTCTTCTTTATCATAAAAACCTAAACATACAAAATACGGGAGCCATCGCCAAGTTCTTTCACCTTCCATCAGTCCCTCAAAATGATTTCGTACTGCTTCCAGTGGGCCTTTCTCCTTATCTAAAAAGTCTGGTATCATCGTGTGATCTAAACTCATTAACTTAACAACCAGATATGCGCCGATACGTACTTGATTGATTCCAGAAACTTTTTCATCGTCTAAAGATTTACAAACACAATTTTTATCTAAACACAAACGTTGAAGCAATCCAATTTTTTTCTTAATAACTTTTATCTTGTAATTGGTGCTAGAATCAAGGGACTGTCTTTCGTTTTCTCCAATTCGAATACCAATCCTATCTAATTTTTCTTGTAATCTCTCTCTAATCTCTGTCCGAAGTCCTATTACGAACCTTTTATCTTCACTAGTTTCGCTGTGCTTGACAACTTTGTCCAGCGTGTCTAGAGTTCCAAATCTTTCACACGGATTGTCATTCCACAATCCACCCCATCCATCAATGAAATTCACAGTATTTGGTTCAAAAACTTCTTCAGCGCATAATTTAAAAAATTTGTCTGAAACCTCTAAATAATTATAGCATTTGTGGTCCATTCCATGACGTTTTGCGTATTTTGTGGTTATTGCTTTCCCTGCAGTGGACACAGAATTCCCAAGTTGTCCAATGATAAAAATTGTATTCTTTCTTTTCAGTTGACGAACACTAATACTTATGTACTCAGCTATAAAAAAATATTGTTCATTTTAATTTTAATGAAAGGAACACAAATTCCTTAAGGTACTTTATTGATGAATAAAATTTAAAATTAAGTGGAAAAGTGCAATAAAGTTGGGTCTTTAAATTATATATATATATATATATATATATATATATATATATATATATATATATATATATATATATATATATATATATATATATATATATATTAGGGATGGCAATCGAATACAGAAACCGCAAGACGTTCCGACCGATTAACCAGTTAATCGTATCGTATCAAAAAACACATTTTTTGACTTTTTTTCATGTATTTGTATTTATATACACAATAAGAGAAACATGGTTAGAAGTTAGAAACATTCTGCTCATTATCTTGATCAGGAAACTATATGTATATATGAATTATTTTATTTCAATTTCAATAGTTAGACAAGACAAAAAAGAAAAACATGAATCTTGCCTGAACAAACAGACACAGAAAGATATCTTTCCAGTGCAGATTTCGCACAAATTCATTCTTCATTGTCACAGTAATCAAAACTTTGTCCGAACTTTAACTTATACAATGTTTTTCTAATAATATTATAGATAACGTCAAAAGATCGGTATGCATACATACTCATTAAAAGTGCTCAATGGAGATTATGTAAAATCATTAAAGTATTACGGGACGGTCAGGGTACCAATATAATGTTTTTAAAAACAGTAATTACAATGTAACACTTCACAAACTAACCAATTATTACCTCGCTATCTCAATTCGAAGAGCCATAATTACCTCCAAATCAGCTTAATAAGATGTGTAAAAACGATGAACTATCAACTTTTATGCAGAGATTTCCTTTATTAAAAATGAAATTTAAGAAAGTTGCGTTCAATTTTACATATATTAAATTTTCCGACTCACCGATTGCAGATTTTTTAACCGATTACCATCGTTCCGACCGATTAATCGATTAACCGGTTACATATGGCATGAAAGGGATATATATATATATATATATATATATATATATATATATATATATATATATATATATATATATATATATATCGCATTGAAAAGAAAACAAGTAATTATATCTGTTGTATTTTATACAAACGTTTTTGTTTTCTAAGTAGTTTTCCTAATTCGGTATCATCAACGCCGGAATCTTCTTTCTTCAAAAGTCCAAGGAGACCTAGAGATAGAAAATTAAAAAAAATATATGCTTTGTTAATTCAAGTCTCCTTTTTTTTATATTTAAATAAGTAAGAAAACGCAATAAAACATTACAACTTTAACTTAAACTAACCTTTTTTATTGGTTTACAAATTCATAAAAATCCCTACCAACAAAGACACATTGTCGGATCTAGCGAATGCTCTACCGAGTCCCTATCTTTAATCCTTACAAAGATATTAACTGCTGTAAGGAAGAAACTTCAGATGTATCAGAGATGTACGCTGATACAGCATATTCTAGAAGTTTTAAACCGCGGCAGGCTACTTGATGTTACAGGAGATTGAACAATCTAGTTTATAGGCAGCATTGCGTACAGTAGTGTTAATGACCTTGTTAGCAAGTAAAAGCTTTCATTGGGTCGTTTTGACTTGAGTGGTTCATAGGAATTGTAAGGCCTTTGTCCTTTTACTCAGTTTGACTATGAAATGCTCCGTCTCCCTGATCAATACATAGGGCTCCCGACGGGTATGATAGGGGGATGACCTCATACATGTATTCACCTGGTCCATCTTTGGTATATCCATGGGTCCGAGTTTTATGCCCTGTTCACAAATTTGTATTGTTTGTAGATTTTTATGTGGTCGACCACTGTGACTCTTCGTTATCTTCACCTTGTCATGAAATGAACTCAGAGGAATGAAGCGAGTAAAAAGAAACTTTCCTGCTGATACTAATTGTAGTTGTAACCGGAGCAAATTAATGCCGATAGAATTCAAAGCAGTTATATAAGATATAATACTCACTCGGCAGGTTTTTTCGTCTCCTCTTGATGACTACAATAATTACGATGGATATTACCAATAAAGCTGCTATGATTCCCAGGGATATGCCGATTTTTAAGACAAGAGTATTGTCCTTGCTTCTAATAAAAATAAATCTATTTTAGATATTTAATGAGGGTTAAGGATTGAAAGTGATTGGTGATAAGAAGGTTTGTATAAGCAAATACAAAAAAAAATTAAAATACATACAAGTATGGAAGGGAATTACCGCCAAAAGTCTATTTATCTTGCTTTTATTCTGCCTACTTCTTTATTCTTTGTTATTATTGTAACTATATGTCACTTTATTGTTTTCATATTCGTCTTTATTACATGTCACTTTGAACTTTTTTCATTCTTCATTTTGTCCTTACTTCTATGCTGCTTTATTCTTGTAAATTCGTTCTGCTTTCTTATAAATTGACACAGTTTATCTAATAAATAAATATGATCATCTCTATTACAAATGTAAATTCAGTCACGCAAACCATGAAGCGCATTCAACGAAGACGAATACAAGTAGTGTGAATTTAATGCGGCATTATAACACTAGGTGGCAGTACGTTCGCTGCGAGTGTTAGTAAAATTAGGTACGCAAACCCGGGCCGAGGTTATTCGAGATTTTTCAATTTTCTGCCTTAATACTTTATCAATCGAACCCAAATTTTCAAGTTATGTTAGTTATAGGTTTATTTGTATACGCGGTAAAATTGCCCCGAAATGCTATATATTTTAGATTTTCTCGAAGATATTTGATTTCCAAGTTGGTAAAATGGGAAGGCAGTATCAAGCTGACATTTTTTTTTTGACGAAAAGCTAATAAATTTATAAATTATTCTGATGTTAAACATTATATTTTAACAATTTATAAGCATTTCTTCTTTTAAATGTGCATTTGTTGCTTTAAATAAAACGTTTTAAGAAAATCTGAGACATTAAAAACGGACCAATGATGAAAACTCCAACATAATTGTATTTTCTGTCACCTGAGAAGTATAACTCTATTTAAGTTATTTGTCGGATGATTGAATTTCAGTTTTATTGATAAAAAAAAAAATAAATATTTTGATAATTACAAGTATACCCTTATAAATTGAATTGTTTTTCTGGACCCCTATATATTCTTCCACTGAACTGACATTTCTTTATTTCAGGATAATAACTGTTCATGCGCAGTCGCGTTATTCTGGGGACCGGGGCTAGTCTGGTTTCGGCCAATCCATAATGCTCTGCAAAGTAGTGCGGAACGTCATGGGTAGGCGTGGCCGGAACCAGGCTAGACCGGGACATACTAGAAACTTCGACCGGTTTTTATGAAAATATGTATTATTTTTTTGTATAGAAATAGCACTTTTCAATAAAGAAATGAATATCTCTAGTAAGCACACAGTGTTTGACATCAGAATAACTCAAAACATTATTTTGTAAATGTCTCGTTTGGCAAAAAATACGTATATTGCCTACCCATCTTAGCAAATTTGAAATCAAAAATAGCCAAAAATAATCTAATATATTGAGATTTTCAAAATATAAATACATGAATATAAATATTGGCAATTTTTACAGCGAATACAGATAAAACTTAAAGACGTAGCATTGTTTTTGAAAGGGGCAGCGAGAAAAAAAAATAACGTACCTGAAAATCTTGACAAACAAAAAACAAACAAACAAACAAACTAACAAAAAAGAGGAAAATTTTTCAAACTCAAAAATTCTATTGGGGGAGGGGGGTGCAACTTCTTTCATCACCAAATTTTACTCATACATCACTACGTACGTGGCCCTTACTTGAGTAAACTGCAACAAAAAGTGGGAGGGGGTGGGCAACCAGACTTTCATTGAACACTTTTAGTAGTAAAAATTTATGGCTAAAAATTGTTTGTTGTCCCCCCCCCCCCTGCTACCGGTGTCATATAGTGAGACTTCCACCATAGTGAGTCTTCCCCCCGGAAGCCTTATATATAGTGAGACTTCCCCGAAAGGGGGGGGGGGGCAATGACCATATAGTTAGCCTTCCATCCTAAACGACCATAGTGAGACTTCCCCTTCCGTATTTGGTTTGGATTTTATTTACATCGACGATGTATATATTGCATATTTAGGTAATGATCTTATATATATATATATATTTATCCCATGTTTACCCCTTTATCCCGTGGATATGACTCATTGGATAATTTTTTCATAATCCACAGTTGTGACGTCACAATGGTTTTTGCGTTAGCGCGATGAAGTAAAATAAAGTGGAGTCCTATATAAAACAGTGTAAAACATTGGTTGTGAAGTATTAAACATGGGATAAAAAGAATCTCCCACGATTTGTAGTTGGATATGACTTTTATCCAATCGTTGTGTGTTTTTATCCCCTCGCCAAGGCTCGGGGATAAAAAAAAACACACAACTCGTTGGATAAAAATCATATCCAACTACAAATCATGGGAGATACTATATATATATATATATATATATATATATATATATATATATATATATATATATATATAATATATATATATATATATATATATATATATATATATATATATATATATATATATATAGTTTCAAATGAATTAATACAAAAGTGCGCATTAAAAATTTACAGCATTAAAAAATGCACAGCAGATTATTGTATTGTTCCGAGACGATTCTTATCAGAAGAAAAAAGACATAATTAGTTTAAGAGTAAAGAGGTCATTTCCCGTAGTTTACCAATGTTTACCTGCATGGTTAAGATGTTTTAATTATAACAATCACTATTAAAATGTTTTAATTATTTCGTATATTTATTTATCCATTCATATAGGACGGAGAACTTTTATCCAAACACTCAAAACGTTAGTACAAAAACATTGTTTTACAATAAAAAAAAAAAAAATTTCGGAAACTAAATTAAAGGGGGAAGTTTCGCTATGAAGGGGGAAGACTGACTATATAGTGAGACTTTCCCCCGGAAGACTGGATGTAAGTGAGATTTCCCTGGAGTAGTCGCACTATATAGCTAGTCTTCCATCTAGCCAGCCTTCAGGGGGGACGACACCGGGTACATGCATGTACCTATAACTAACATAACTTGAAAATTTGGGTTCGATTGATAAAGTATAAAGGCAAAAAATTGAAAAATCTCGAATAACCTCGGCCCGGGTTTGCGTACCTAATTTTACCAACACTCGCAGCGAACGTACTGCCACCTAGTGTTATAATGCCGCATTAAATTCACACTACTTGTATTCGTCTTCGTTGAATGCGCTTCATGGTTTGCGTGACTGAATTTACATTTGTAATAGAGATGATCATATTTATTTATTAGATAAACTGTGTCAATTTATAAGAAAGCAGAACGAATTTACAAGAATAAAGCAGCATAGAAGTAAGGACAAAATGAAGAATGAAAAAAGTTCAAAGTGACATGTAATAAAGACGAATATGAAAACAATAAAGTGACATATAGTTACAATAATAACAAAGAATAAAGAAGTAGGCAGAATAAAAGCTAGATAAATAGACTTTTGGCGGTAATTCCCTTCCATATATAAGAAGCTTTTAATTCAGGGACAGATTTGATGCATAATAAAATGTGTACATCTGGATCCAGTACTAGTTGCACAAACTTTAGTTATTTTTAACTAGTCGTTAACTTAAAAGTTGTACGGAAGTTAACTGACAATAAAAGCTTAGCTAAGTTTAATTTCAACCAATAGGTTTAAATGAGATTACTTAAGTACATTAAATATTTATGAACATGTCTATGAGTAAACCATGCAAATAGAGAAATAGGCTGCAGTAGCGAGTCTCAAGAACAAACAGAATTTTATTATAACCATAAAGGAGACCTACTGAGAGTCAGAAATATGTTAGTTTTTTGCATTGGTTGTTTCTATTTTTAGTAAAGTCAATAATTTATTCTGGTCAACATTCCAGGGAAAAATGCAATAAAGTTGGTGTAAAATTGATAATTTCAATATTTAAAGTTAAAATAAACGAACAACATAAGAAGAAAATGGAAATATTTTCTCAAGGAAGTGGGTTGTGAAATTAAGTTGGAATCAACATTTTTTGTCATATCCCTATATAAGAGGCTGTCCCAAGAGCGCAAATATTGGCATGGTGCCAAGAAATGATAAAGATTCACTTTTTGTCAATATTCAAGAAAGTATTTCAAAGATTCTTGATTGAGATTGACGTTTCTTTTTTCAAAATTTTGTGTTATTAGAAACCTCTAAGAAATTATTCCTTCAATATGTAATATCAACCTTTGGACTCTCAAGGACAATATGGACATGTAGACTGTACATGTATCCATCTGTTATTCTCCTTGAAGTCTTGCCATAATGTGTAGAAGTTTTCTTATATTTTCATTATAAAGGTATTCACTTTATCTTTAAATTTTAGATAAACAGAGTTCTCATTTCTTGGACATGAATATAGAATGTAGTGAAATGGAAAATACTTTTCAAAGCCAGACAGGTAAAAAATCTTAAATTAAACATGTTAGAATAAGCAAAAAATACAGAAATAAAAATTTTAAAAAATAGAAAAAATTAAATCATCCATTATTATTGATGCCTTAAACTTAAGATATGCTTTTAGAAAACCTTTATTGGGGCTCAGTTTTTCAGAAATGTTTTTCAAGAATTATTTTTCTCAATATTGCAAGGCAATTAATGATTAGTGAAACTAGAAATGTCAAGTTTAAAAGCCTATGGTACTTTCATGATAAATGATATGAATGTTTGTTTTATATTGATATTTTTTTTATTGGAATATTGAATCAAAACAGGAAATCGTAAAATATTTAAATCATAATTGTACATTGCCCTCCAGGACATACTTAGTATTTAAAGAGTGCAATTTTCATCATCAGTTTTACAATGTGTATGTGAATCAATAGCACCTGGGCAAGGTCTTGGTTAATTTGAAAAGGCCGTATTTTTGTAACCAACAACAAAATGGAAAGGATTCGTAACCCAAGATAGATGCAATAACAGAGAATTGAAGCATATACAAAAGCAGATGACTAAAACACTAAAACCCAAATACTCTCCCTGATAGCTAACAAACAAACAAAATCAGAAATGTTTTTGCTTATGGAAGGTCTCTCTGTCCATAAAATTGTCTCTGCAAGAAAACAAGAAAACATGCATCTACTCAAGGACCAGACCAGTACATCACGCCACCAAAAGTGACAAGAGTGAGACTGATTGAAGGACAAATTAAGCATTAGATAGAATTTATATCCACACAATGCTACCTTAAAACAGTTGGATTTGGTTCCTGAATATTGAAACTGTCATCTGGAGCTCAGGTCAAAGTACCAAAAGTGACTGGAACAATGTTAGCATATCGGTTGATAAATGCTTACAGCTTGCATTGCCAAAAGAATTCTTTGAAAATGCCTCCACGTGGAACTCTGTTTAAAGTCATCAATGTCTGGGCAGCATCACATCTAAAGTCACTTCATAGAATAGACATGCAAGCCAGTGAAGGGCTTGCTGGTATTGAAGTCTAAGAGAAGACCATAGACAAATTTTGATCAGCATGGATTGCAGCTTGAAAAGGTCATTGAACGGATAAGAAGAGTCAATAATCTACGGTTATTTTTGAAGCATGGCTTTAAAACCAACTTGAGCAAAAGCATTACTTGCATTCACAATTGCATCCAGTATGCCCTGAGTAAAAAGGCTGTTTGTGACCATAGACATACCTACTACTGCATTTCTTATGAAGATTTAGATGAAACAAAAGAGGCAATCGATCAATGTTTCAGGGCTTTGTCATTTCCGAATGAGCAGATGAGAGAAGAACTTCAATATGACATTAAAGCCTCAAATGAGAAAACAGTCAAATGGCGCAACTACTGTATTAAATCAGTGAATCAAGATCTTTTCAAAAGAGAATCCTCAGCGATGTTAAGAACGGCCCGTGTTCACATTTGTGATGCACCGTATAGGAAGATTCCTTGTGACGTCATTAAAAATTTAGCAAGCGACAAAAATCAATTTAACCAAATGATGAAGCGTAAGTAACAACTTGCATTCATTTATCAATTATTTATAAAAGCATGTAAAATCACAACATTTGATAACAATACTGCCTTGTAATTAGAAGCAAATCATGTGTCATAAATGAAATTAATTTTTGAAAATTTCTGACTTGACACAGTTCAAATGATCCAGAAAAGTGGATCCATAGGTTCTAAACAATGATATTAAAAGGAAATACTTTATTAAAACAATTATATAGATTATCAATATATCTGTATTAAATGTGGAGTCGGTAAATAAATCGGTTTAAAATTTCTAATATCTTTGAAACGTGATTAATTTGAATTGTGTAATTTACAGGAAAGTCCTATCTTTATATAAAGTAATATATAAAACAAATAGAAAAATCTCTTTAATTTATGTTAGTCTGAACTTATAAAAAATACGCCATGTATGACTTTAATTTTTAAATTCAAATTTTAATGCAAGAACTTGACTTGGAAAACAACATTTTGTATTTTATTGATTTTTTTTTTAATATTACATGTATAACGCCGTTATTTAATTGTAAAAAAAAAAATCATATTTGAAGTATTCTTAAATTATACATTTTATCAATGTTAAAATAAACATTTAAACTAAATAACCTTAGCAAATAAACGCTTATAAAATGATGTCATTTTAAATCCGATTTAGCATTGTATTTTTTTTCCACTATAGTATAGGAAAGAGAAATGCACGTGCAGACCATTTTTAATAAAGAGTTAACTGTACGACACTGATTAGCAATGTGTTAGCTGATTAATCTCTAATTGAATATCTATCAAAAAATTAACTGACAGTTATATAACTTGTCGTTAAAAATTAAACGGCTAGTTAGGGCACTAATGAGGTTAATTTACTATTCTTGGTGCAACAGGATCCTGAACATTAAGGAAAATACGGATGTAAAACTTAATTCTAAAAATTGAATGTTATATTTTTACAAAGTTCTTTATAGACGCATTTTCTTAGTTTGAGCCAGGAAGACGTTTAATATAATCAGAAAAAAAATGATGATGATCATAACAATAGAGTACCTCATGAATGATATGTATTTCACTTTATTCGATTGTTGTATTGTTGAAATTAAAATGATACATTGTCAAAAAAGGTACAGTGTAGTACATGTACTCTTAAGTTTGGCTTTCTTTATTAGCCGATGCTGAATTACAAAATAAGATAAACAATAATGAAGAGTATCATCAAATTATGATAAATATAGCAAATATATTGTAAAATTCAGTAATTCGGGAAAAGAAAAGTCCATATTTTAGATCAAAAATAATATATTTTTGTATTATCAAAAAAATTACATAAAACACCTTTACGTCTATTTTTTTCTGAAAGTTTTAGATAATTTTGACTATTCTGCTGAAATTCAGAAAATGATACACAAGTTAACATAGAAAAAACTCTTAACAGGTGCTGCAATATACTTTACAGCCAACACATTGAATATTTTAATTTCTAATATATTTTCCCTTAAAATTAATTTCAAATAAGAATGCGATTTATCTATTATTTATGTTGAAGTCGCATGAATACTTTTTAATATCTGCAAGACGTCAAAAATAAGATGCAACCTTTTTTTTTTTTAAAAAAAAGAATAATACTTAAATGACATGATTTTACGCTAATCATCGGATAGATGGATGGATGGATGGATGGATGGATGAACAGACTGACAGACAGCTAGACAGACAGCTAGAGAGAGAGAGAGAGAGAGAGAGAGAGAGATGCCTGAAGCATCGTTTAATGTCCTCAGAAATTTTCAAAAATTAAATTCATTTTTTTTAAAAATAAATTACCCTAAGGTTTAATGATGCCACATTGCGATAAGATGTCTAACAATTCTTCCAAAAGCTTGTAAACTGCATATTCAAAATCTATATCGGTATTTCTTCCTAGAAATATTTTTCAATGAATAAAGATGCATGCAATTAACTTATTTCAATTTAATAATTAATATCTAATCTTTATGCAGTAGTTTTCCGTTCTCGTATTAAGGAACTTTAATTTCGAAGTCTGAAAAACAACGCAGAGAGAATGATATGTTTTATTATGTTCTCCAGCTTGTACCTACAATGTAGTTTATTTGTTGATATATTAAACAAATACTTAGCAGCTTTCATTAATTATCTATTTCAGAATCATCCAAACGTACCACCGAAGATGTTCTATAAGCTCTTCACACATGATACAATTTTGTCTATTATATCACTTTAAAACGAACATTACCTTGGTTTTTGGCTCCCAGTAAAACCCATTTCTTCCCTTTCAATGTCAAAACAAACAGGAACTGTTAGAAATATAATAAAGCCTTTCAATGTACATGTATATTTAAAAAAAAATCACTTATTTTAAATTGTATACACTTCGAAGACATCTAACTATTGCATTGCACTATAAATTTCATAAAAAATGCAAAAATTCTATTGCATAAAATTTATATAAAAAAATAATCACTTCTTTTTTATATATTTTGAAGGCCTGGATAATTATAATAATAAAAAATGTTTTGTGTTATATCTTCATTTGTATTCTTACATTTGTACACTTCGTCACTTCGGTAAGGCACGCTGGGACAGCCTGTTTTATTACAAGCCTTCCAGTGGAGATAATAATCATATGTGAAGATTGGGCAATGTCCTATCAATATGTAAATATAATCAAATATATTCAATTTTTTTTTGTGATGTATAAACTGATTGCATATAATTGTTATTCAAAAACGCTATTCATGTCACTGATATACCGAAAATGTTATTGAGAAGTTGATATAAGAACATAATCATGTCATAGACTATTTTTGGAGAGTGTTACAGTCAATTTAATGAACAACAAACTACAAAAAATATTGTTTGTTGTAACATTTATGGAGATGTGTAGCATATTTTCAAAATTCTATTTTTAAATAACTGGTACATGTATATGCTTCTTTTTATATTAATCCTTTAATGATTTTTTTTCTGCATTTCTAAAGAGCTAATTATGAGATGCAAACGAAAGAAGATGATAGCGAGATAATTTACTTGTTTATTACTGAAAACATTGTTTGAATGAACAATTTTTAGTATTTGTCATTTTGTTTTGCAACTTTATGTCTTTTTTTTTTTAAATGAATATCACTTCTGTCGCATTCATGTGCCCTCCATTATTTTATAAGCAATTTCATAAAAAAAATTATAAAGTATGAGTAAATTTGGAACGGTTTAAGCCTCATGTAACCTTTTTGTTTGCTTTATAAATCAATGTAATAATACTGTCCAGGATGCAGAAATAATAAATCTTAAGCACTCTCTTTTTACTTGAAACCCATAAAGATGTTCTACGCTTGCTTATCACGTCTTTTCCCGCTACTTTTTGAGGGTTTGTTAAATCCTCTTTGTAGAAGTTTAAATTACAAAATATATGGATCAAGAGTGTCACAGAAAAGAAAGACTATAGCAATTTTTACCGTTCAGTATTAATGTTTTCTCTATACATTTCTCTTCCCTTGTTTTCCCGTCCTCCATGACTAGACAGTGGTAGACATCGGATCCCTGACACGTTCTTGTTTTGGACCTGGTCTTCCATTCAGTTTCATTCGAAGGACAGTCTACTCTTGATAAAACACCTGCATAAAATGCACACTCAGATATTGCCGTTTTCTGACAAAAGGAGAACAATTGACAGAGAAAAAGAATTAACGTTATCTACAAAGATTTGATTGTAATTTCTAACTCATTTTCTTTAAACTATAAAAAAAATTATGTGTAATTGAATAAAAAAAAAGATCTGAAGTGTGAAGAATTCCTTCAATAATTTTCTTCAAGTTAAATATTTTATAGATATAACACTCAAACGAAATGTCCTGACAATTTCTTTGCATCTCATGAACTAGCGATATTCAACCATTGATTTCATTTTATTTATAAAATGCAATATCTCAGAAAATGTGTGAAAAAACACTTACCATCAATATGGAAAATTATTAGCAAAACTATTGATAAAATCTCCATTTCCTTTCTATGATGTGCTTTCTTTCAAACACTTCAGCTGCAAAATTAAAGGATGTCTAAATAAGTAAAGTGGGATTACCTCTTTTTACAACATTTTCGTATTTGATGATACTTTCGTTTTCAACAAACTAATTACATGTATAAATTATTAATATTATTTCAAACTCGACGACTCTTTCAAACTTCGTGTATTATAGTATCACAACACGAATCAATGCTCTAAAATAAATAAATCTAGATGATTTCGATTTCCCTCTGTCAATATACATGTAACAAAATGGTAAAGTGGAAACTTAAAGATTTATGGACGCATTTTTAAATATTTAAGCGAATAAGAGTTACCAACCCTGTTAAGTTTTCGTTACAAAGAGATACATGTAAGGATGAACTTTCAATTGATGTACTGTAAGAAAGAATAATCTAGATTAGAATTGCAAAGACTCCAATTATTCACTCAATGTGTCAACTTGCCCCTACTACCCTACCCCTAGTAAATAAAATGTTGCTATGAGAATGGCATATTTAATTACATGGAAAAATAATGAATTGAACGATTATAACAACAAAATGATCTTTGCAGGAAACACTTATCATTTAAAAGCAATTCTAATACCTCATAGGTCTAAATCGTCTTTTAATTCCGTCAATGAATGGAAGGAAAGCTTTAAAAATCTGATTCCTACTTTCGTTTCCGTTTCCATCTTTCAGAATTGACGAGGAAGGCAGCAATAAAAGCGATCGTCATAGGTGCGTCATGAATTAAAATACACAGCTATTTAAAAATAGTCAATGGGTGCGTCCATGCTATGTTTCTAATTTTATCAAGGAGCCGTATCTAGATTTTTTCAAGTATTTATATACGTTTTTTTTTTTCCAATGCTGTGATAAACATGAAAATAAAGTAACATCATTATGTATATACCTTAGATGTAATCCTTCCTCCTGTCTCTGTCTCTGCATTTTAGCGAGTATATATTATTATTTAAAAAATGGCTTTTTTTGTTAATACCAGAATTGATAAATATCTATATGTGAAGTAAGCGGATTATATTTTTCTAAAACCGTTTAGCCTCGTATTAATACAAAATGTTTGGCAAATTTGGAAATCGTGAAAAACTATATTTTATACCGTTTTTAATTATTATTAATAAATAAAATGATTTATTTTTAAATCTATCATCCCTTGAAAAGATTTTCTTTAATTTTTTCCCCCTAAAGCCTTCGAATAAAATCGTTTTAATTGATGAAAAATTAAAAGCAAATTTTGTTATCTCCAATAATTCTTAAAATAATTTATAACGATTTAACCCTTTTGACGCCGAATAAAGTTACGTCTATAACGTCATGGATGCCGTACTATGACGTCAACTGAGACGTAAAATAATTTCTTCAGGAAAAAGTCGTCAAATTGATATTGAAAAAGCACCTGTTTGTCCAAGGTAATAGGATGTTTGTATAGTTTTCAAGGAAAATTCGTATAATAAAGTCATATTCATTCCAGTAGTTTTTAATCGCCATAAAGTAAATTTAGCCAATATTTATCGTGTAGCTAGCATATGCAAGGAAAGTCTTTAAATATAACAAAAGAGAGTTTAATCTTAAGCTTCTTCAAATAATAAATCAAATGTTATAAATGCATGACTGCCGTCACGAGAAAAGGGTCCTTAAATAGCCTGGCCCTTTCTGAATGCAAATACATGTATAAATTACTTTTAAAAAAATATCTGATTTTTTTTTCAGTATTTTATAAGCATTTTAGTAAGGCACTTCAAAACTATGTTGACGTTTCTGCCTAAAACGTAATTATGTCGCGTGCGTCAAATTCGGTTTCTAAACATTCTTAAAATTATTTAAATAATTTTAATCGTTTTGACACATAAAAACTTGATAAAATATTTTATTTTTTCTTCTAAGCTACTAGTATGTCCTAAGAAAAAGACGCCTTAGTTCATATTTCTAAGAGGCAGATCCAGTTATTTCGTAAGGGAGGAGGAGGGGGTCTAGAAATTTAGGATCTGGAATCGGTTTATTTTCAGTCGAAAAAATAATAGAATTCAACGAAAGTTTTTTTTTTTTATTTAATACTCTAGCTCATTTAATAAAGTATATAAAGAACTTGTAACATTACACCCCTCCCCCACCTCCAGAAAAAAAGATACACGGATGTCCCTTAGAGAAATAAGAAAGGGCACCGCGCATAAAGCGGGCCATCCCCTCACAAAAAAAACAAATTGATTCCAATATAAAAAATATTAATTTCAGTTATAAGCATGCATCCCCCCACCCACCACAAGCGTGTTTCTTTTTCCCCTCTAGCTTTGAAGTATTTTCTGTATTACCGATGGATTCTAACGGGAAAAATTAATTCAGATGAATTTATGATGTGTGAATTTTTTTTTCTTAAAGTTGATTCTGTACGAAAGCCCATTGAGCTCATTTTCGTAGATAAAAAAAGTATTTTTTGCATTATAACGCGAAACTTTCGCGAATAAACGCGTAACTTTCGCGTTCTAACGCGAAACTTTCGCGAATAAACGCGTAACTTTCGCGTTATAACGCGTAAGTTTCGCAAATAAACGCGTAACTTTCGCGTTATAACGCGAAACTTTCCCCGTAAAACAGAGACATTTGCATAAGTCTACAGTTTGTTTTACTTTTTAATGATCTAGTTTATTCATTACAGTGAAAAACGAAAGACTATTTTGAACTTGGATTATCACGAGCTGAAATTTTATGTTTTCTCGCCATTGAATGTGTCTTTCCTCTTTCTAAATCTTTTTTGCCGTCACATTTTGTCTTTCTCAATGCTGTTCAATACAAGTGTTGAAGCGTATAGTAGAGGAGCGAAAATACAAGTCTAATTTTAATTAGACTGAACACTCTGTATAGAATTTGAAATAAAAGATCTCAGAAACTTGACAACAATGAGGTAAATTTGTATTTCACGGAACAATTGTGTCACATCACATGAGTAACCTAATGTGAAAATTGGATGACAAATATTCGTATCAAATATTTCATCTCCGATAGACTCGCTGAAGAAATACAACATTGTATTTTAAGGTTGCACCATTTGGTCATTATACCATGACTTACGAAAACATTGACAATTTATTCAAAGAAAGCAACGAGTGGAGATCTTACTGAGAAAAAAATTAGTCTACAGAATTTCTTGGATTCAACAAGTGAAAAACAAGAAAATCTTTAAAGGAATATTCATTTAATTAATTAGTAGGGTTTTGAGATTAAATGCAAAATCAACAGTAATCTATCCATTTCTCGCATCAATTCTCTTTTACATCTTCTGAAGAAATGTCATTTATAAATTCACAGAAGTCCCCCTCTGCGTTCATGTTTTTAATCTGTCAGTCAAGATCACAGGTTCCTGAGTAACATGACTATATATGTATAATTTCGCGTTATAACGCGAAAGTTACGCGTTATAACGCGAAAGTTACGCGTTATAACGCGAAAGTTTCGCGTTTATTCGCGAAAGTTACGCGTTATAACGCGAAAAAAATTTTTTTTTACCTACGAAAATGAGCTCAATGGGCTTTCGTAGATTCTGTTCATAAAAAGTCATAAATAAAAAAAAATCTTTTTCGACTTTCAAGCGGATATTTTTTTTTAAATACGTTGATAAAATATTTTAAATAAGTTTCCATTGTTCATACAATTCAACTTCTTTGCCTGTCTTAGATATGGAATAAAACATAAAAAGAGGCACATAATGATGTCTCGAGATTGTTTTGTGAAAGCCCAGATAGCATGACTACGTTGGGCCAACATTGGTAAATGGTTGTATGGTTGGCGTTGGGTGGACAACGTTGGGCCAACGTTGGACCAATGTAACCATGTCAACCTTCTTGATCATGTTGGGATTCCTATGTTGGCCCAACGTTGGTCCAACGTAACCAACTTCTATATTCGCTCAACTTTCAAAGGGAGTTAGGATTCTAATGTTGGCCCAACATTGGTCCAACGTTTGTAATACACCCTTACTGAAAATGTCTAATCAAGTTGGTAGTAGTACGTCGGCCCAGCGTTGGCCCGATGTTAGCATGTATAAGTGTTTCAAGACGGGATATTTATATTGGGCCAATGTTGGCCCAATTATTGTACTGCCAACTAAATGATGGTGTCCATGTAAGCTGATGAGCGTTACGTTGGGCCAACGTTGGTTCCAAGTTCTTAAATCGTTATGTTCCCAATGTTGCCCCATTGAGCTGTTGTGTTGCAAGCTTACTAGTATTTGATTGCAAAAAATTAATTTAGATGCACATTCTGAAATAATAGAGAGCATTCGCTGGCCTTGCTTTTAATTGGATGACTGCATCTGGTTAGATCTGATATTTTCACTAATTCTTATCTTTGAACTAAAGTGATCACAGCACCAAAAAGTTTTTTGTTCTGTTTGTTTTTTTTTAAGTGGGTGCATTATTATTTATTAGTTTTAAAATCCTTAGCTCTAAATTATGAATTATTTCATGAGCGTTGTATTCATGAGAATAAGAGAAGACTGAATAACATTTAAAAAGTTCCCAGTGACAGGATGTGAATGAAGCCTACATATACATAAATCAAGATAACACAGCTTTATAATTAAATTGAATCAAAAGTTAGGCGTTCGCTAAAGCTTGGAGAGTCGCGGCGATTAAAACACCAAACTGTTGGGTGAGCTGTCAGATTCAATTGCTCACAGGTGGGTGATAGACTCAAAATGCAGAGCAAGTAAGGAGGGAGATTTAAAAACTATGGATTATACCGTTGTTACAGCTGCATCTTAGAATCGATGTAAGTATAATTATTCTTATTATTTCAAGTTTACTGTTAAAATTGTTCGGAATTCATCCTTTTCTTGTTTATGCTTACAAGCACTATATAAGTTAATGTAAATATGAATTACATATGTATACAGTTGGCACATACATGTACTTTAAACTTTTATTTACAATAGCTTCTAGTGCTCATTAAGAAATACAAAAATAAGTAAGGTGAAAAACATCTTTCAACTTGTCTCCATCTATTGTCCATTGCATACACGATTATGATGTTAACAAGGATACTGAGGTTTATAGATCAACATGTACTATAGTAGTATTTTACATCGTTGTCTTTAAAAGACTTAATTACATGATTTATATATTGGAGTCTGTACGTATTTGCTTTGTTTCCAATACCAAATTATTTGTATTTTCAATCAGACACTGTAAGGAAAACAAATGCTGTAGCGGTAACTGACAATGAAACTGAAGAACATAAAGGACTGTATGAAGTACGTATGCCTAAGATCAAGATGGAGGCCTGGGGAGGCGACAAAGGGAGGAAAAAAGAAAGAGCGGGAAACAAAACAAAAGGACAGTGATAGAGGAAGTGAGCCAGGATTAAGAACTTTAAATTAATATTTTTTCATACATTTCCACCATTATCAATTTTAAAAGTAATTTTGTAAATTCTGATTGAATTGATATATATCTATAAAATAATTTTACAGTTAATCACTTGTAATGTTTTCTTTGAACGTGTATGCATTATGAATGCAGGTTGAAGTGTGTATTATTTCTTTTTAAAACAATTATGAGAAAGGTCTATATAAAGAATTATTTATAAATGTATTTTCAAGAAGTATTCATTCAATTTATTTAAACAGATGTAAATTTCATCCAACAATTGGCCAACAGAAAGAAGCTTAAGGCCAATA